ATCATCATCATCGAGGGACAAAGGCTACCTGAACTGACAGAGATCTTCTTTTCGGACCAGAGCCACTTTTTGTCACTACCCACCACCACCACCTCCTCCATGCGCTGTCTGTTTAGTGTGTGCTGGTGGTGTATGATGGGAGAAGTCTTGACCCAGCACTGGGGGGCTGTAACACTTCACTGTCAGCGCGGCTGATTAGCTTATCACTCACCGCACTGGGAGGAAATACATCATCATTCTAGACAGGGATTCCCCAGTTTAGGCCCATTCCCTGCCTCCTTTTACTCTGCATTTAATCACCAGCCTCTCTGTCCCCTCCAGTATTTCAGCCTCACTTCTGAATCCAATCCGTGGTGGTTTACACTCAGAACTTACTTACTTTAAGGCCTGTAACAGCTACATTATACGTGTGAGAGTACTTTTTTGCGTTGGAGGGCTTACTCTCCATTGCAGATACATGCATGCGCCGATATTTACTGTGTGGAGGAAAACAGAATGAGCCATTTTTTCCCAAATTATTCTTTTCAGCTCACTCTACAAAGAAAGTGAGACACAAAGTGGCAAATGTGCTTTGGCTTCCCCACAGTGTGGTATCAGGTATGGTAATTACTCTGCCATTAACATTGGGAATAGTTAATGTGTATTAATGTGTTAATGGCATGTTAATTACTGTACATGCTAGAGAGAGCCCGCAGGCATTCTCTCAGATTCTTTTGTGCCATGTGGATGTAGGCCAAGCTTAAAAAAGCCTTTAAGAACATCGATGAAAGAGGATCCTTATGTTTCATTTGTCAGAACAAAAGATTTTCAATGGTAATTTGATCCAGCGCCCCGCTTCTGGAGCTGAAAGTCACTGATCCAGGCGCCACGACAAAGGAGATGATATGAAGTCAAAGGAGACGTGGAACACGGCTGCAGTGACACTGGCCTCTTTGTGAAATGGATACTTTAAGCCCTCTGTAGTCTCTAGTGTGTTGCTTTGGCAGTGGGTTTTAATAACACGGTGGATTAGAAGCCTTGGATCATGAGTGCCAAGCCCGAGTTAAAGCTCACCTTGGACGAGCCTCAGTAACAGGCTAGATGCCACGGTCCTCCTCCTCCTCCTCCTCCTCCTCCTCCACCTCCTCCTCCACCTCCTCTCTCTCCTCACACTGTCGACTCCACGGCTTTAAGAGAGATGACCTTTGCAAATATTGACAGAAAATAAATTCTGTTTCGATTAGTTAGCTTTGGGAGACCTTTGCGGATCAATGCAATTAGATGAACAGAGTGTCGATACGTGGCCGGAGCCGCTCACTGGAGGCAGTGGGTAGGAGAGGAGCTGCAGGAGGTCAGGGTTACTTGTAATGAACAGGATGTTTTAGAGTCACATGGGTGTAATGTCAAACCCAGGCTAAAAAAAAAAAAAAAAAAATCACTTCACTGCATCTCACTCTGCTTGCAGCACGGATCATTTTACTATCTCTGAAACATTGCATTTCCAAAAAAAATGATTAGAAATAAAGAAAAATCTCTGGCTTTAACTGCAGGAAGTGCTGCTCTTGGAGTGTATTGTCTGGTGCCTGACAGTGCAGTCAGTGCAGCAGAATGAGGTGGAGAAGCCCGGAGCCACCCCTTCCCTCTTCAGCAGGCCACATTAACCCAGCAGGACTCTGCCTTTATGGCTCTCCTGCTCACACTTCAGTGATGAGAGTAAACAAGCAGCGGGCCAAAGGTCAGCTAAGCCCACAGAATAAAAGAGGGCACAGGGGGGAAAGAGGTGGGAGGAAAGGAGAGAGCGGCCCGAAGCAGTGCTCAGATCACTGTCAGGGCTTCAAGCAGGGAATGATGTACGAGACAACAGCCCCGAACCGGAAATGATTATAAACAGAGAACAGGGGAGAGTATATGAGAGAAAAGGGCTGCATTGTCTTTATCTGTCAAATTTGTTACTTCCTTGGATCTGATACCGGCGGTGAAACCTGTAAAAAATGAAAAGGAGAACCACCCCTGACTGATAGGGATGGATTAATCACAGTGTCTCCTTTTGTCTCAGCCACAGAGGAGAAATGAGGAACAATCATATAGGCAAGTGCTTTTTCCCCAGCTACTCCACCTGTATTGTTGAATGACAAATGAGGCCGATTAAGGACATGTTGCATTATTATTACAATTTCACATTTTTTTCCCCCTTCTTTTACATCATTAAATGCGTTCTGGTAATTAACTGAGCCAGCATCATCAGAGTTATGTGAAATAACTAGACCATATATAGATTTTTCATTCTCAAGTCCCCGTTGCTCGCAGGCTTTACCAAGGTGACACGACTCCCGCACTTTCCCTTTGCACTGGGATTAATCCCACTTTGACTGTGGAGGTGGATTAGAGCTAAACTCGGGTGCCCAAACTTGTTTTAATACCCATATCATCAGACAAAAACAGGATAAAGATTTGAGCAGGCAAAGCAGCATTGCAGGGCTAGAATGTGACTGTGGCTTTGCAAGTTACTATACAGATTTGTCAGCCACACAGCAAATTAAAGATATTATCTTGCTGGAGCCTATTTTGTGGAAGTTGTGTGATGATGCTGAGTTTAGACAGTGAATCCACAATCTGTAGCTCCTCCAATAAAGAGACAGAGATACATTGCACCTGTTTTTAAAATAGTATTTTTTCTGTGGACTAGGTTTTTTTATTTTTTTTTTCTAATTTTTAGTATTTATGTGCTTTAGACGGAGGCATCTTCCCTCCCAACATGTGTGTTATGAATGACCAGCCAGAGCTGCTGTGGCACAAATACACCCTGGTGGACTCCTGCAGGGCCGTCTGCTTCTCAGGGCAGCGCAGTAATCATTTTTATCCTGCTGATTTCCCAAATAGAAATGGACACGTATGATAAAAATGTCACGGCCACTCCACATGTCAGTGGACTAACAGGATTACATGTCACTTTCTAATGTCTCGCTCTGTATTCCTTTGCCATGAATGGCCACATTATTGCACAGAGGAACTTTGTGGTAATATATGGTAAGAGACAAGTAGCTCTTTATGGCCTGTGATTATTTAGTTGGAATGAAACCAGTGATTTATGCCCATTTAGCTGAAAAGCCCTGTAAATTCCCTCAGCTGCATTTCCCCTGGATATAGAGTGAGTGGAGTGAAAGTGACAACTGGGTTTGGTGTGGAAATGTACGCCGCGTCCCAGAGTTATATTTAATATACCTGACATGAAAAACGTGCCTACCTACTTACCACCACCCACAGCACAAAGAAAAGTGTAAACCTGCTGAGCTTGTGTTGAATCAGAGAGTGGGAGTAAATACTGAATTAGGAAAATATGAACCACGGTGGCAGACAAACCACCAGCTATTAGAGCATGTTGAGATATGTAGCCAGGCATCTGGTCAGTCAACATTTGAATCATGTGCCATTTTGCTTCATGCTGCACAAACTGGAATAGAAACAGTCGAGCCTGTCCAGAACGAGTGCTTTGGGTGGAGTAGTGCAGATGCAGTGTGATGTGGACGAGGGTTAGTGGAGCAGTGGCATATTGTCCACATGGATGGGCTTGGCTCTGCAAGCCTGATGGAGCCTTGTCCAGCATCTCAATGTCTCCAACACAAATAGCCACATTCATCCACTCCTCTCACACCATTACACCTAAAAGACTCAAAGCCAGCCGATCCATAAATAGAGCCAAATTTGTTTTTCAGCGGCACTGCAGCCGAACAAAACACCAACAACAGAGATGAAAACATCAGAGGAGTGGCTACAATATGATGTGTTTCCTCTCCTTTTTTTCTCTTTCTTTTTTTTCGAAATTCAGGATTGTGTTTATAAGAAAGATAGCAGGAGAAAAAGGCGTGTTGTCCCTCCAGTATTTACTCCTGTGGATGATGTGCAGGGTCAGTCGGTCAAAGCGTGGTAAAAGGGCTTCTCTGATTGCATGCCTACTGGCTGACACAATAGAGCCACTAATCTTCTTATTTAGAATCCAGAGGCTGGCCATATCTTAATGAAGCTGTAATGAGCTGTTGAAAATCCCTGAATTGCAGGAGGGATTATTGAATTGAAACAACTCTGGTAATCATAACGTTCGAGTAGCCACTCAGTATTTACTGCCCATTGAGCCACATTTTTATCCACTTACTAGACTGGATTGCTCCAGCTTGTTTTTGTTGTAATTCTGACCTGCAGTCTTTTTTTTTTTTTTTTTCTGTGTGTGTGTGTGTGTGTGTGTGTGTGTGTGTGTTTGTGTTTGTTTATTCTCTGTAAATCCCGGCATCGTGGTTGCATTGCCAATGCATCCAGGTGTGCGTGTATGCTATCTGCTGGGTGATTACGACTTGCTGACAGACTGGCGAGACAGAAAACCAGAGGAAATAAACAGCAGGATCTGAGAACAAAAACAGGATTCATGAATGAGCACTTTACATAAAATTGACTTTGCACTCATTTCGCTGTATGTAGATTTTGATTCCGCCGGCACATTTTTATTACGTCTTAGAATGCTGCAGAATCGGGGCTGTAAAATAATACGAGATTTAAACCTTATAAGAAAACAGGAAGGAGGGAAACAGTAGTTACTTTCTGGAGTTCAGAGCATTCAGTGTGTCAAAGACAGAGACACTTACTAGAGGTATAGTTTTCTGTTTAGCATCCTTTCACAGAGTAGAAGTGCCACTTCACCATTGAGCATTTGTCAGTTTATGGATGTTGCTGTCATGTCAGCCTTCCCGTACACACAGTGTGCAGCGCAGTGTGTAAATAAAAGAGAACAGGCAAAGACATGGGCGACAGGAACACAGCACATACACAGAAGGCACCCAGTTCATACCTGCGGGGGAAACATCACACTATAGCACACTACGCAGGCTAGTATAATGCTTTTAATGGCACTTAACACTTCAGTCTGGGCCTGTTTGATCTGTTTTATTTGTTATTATTGGTATTAGTCTTAACACTCTGGAGGATGTTAGCTGACCCCGTGTCCCTTCTTTTGTGTGTGCGTGTCGCTACAGGTCTCAGCATCCGTGGCGCCCAGGAGGAGGACCCCCCGGACCCTCAGCTCATGCGCTTAGACAACATGCTGCTGGCAGAGGGCGTGGCGGGACCAGAGAAAGGCGGCGGATCTGCCGCCGCCGCAGCTGCAGCCGCAGCCTCGGGCGGGGCGGCCGACAACTCCATCGAACATTCCGACTACAGAGCCAAACTCACCCAGATCAGACAGATCTACCACACAGAGCTGGAGAAATACGAGCAGGTGAGGTTGAAATTTCCTCAAGAACAGCTACACCTCCTAATGCACTTTTCTACATCCGAGGACAGGAGAATGACATGAATTTTGTCCTGAATTCACCATCAAAACGTTTAAATAACCACGTGACTACCAGCTTTTCAGAATTTCTTTTTGCATTCAAATGGACCCATTGAGTCGTACATGATACTTCACATTGCTACAGAACACCCAGAACAGCTCATTCCCTGCATTAACAAGAAATTGCGATGGAGGAAAAAAAATTGCAGTATTATTCATTGTGTTGTAGCTGATTATAGAGATCCAAAGGAGTGCCTTAGTCATCTGTGTTAAATGAAAGTATGATCAGCTTATTCACCTAGCACTTTGCGCCTGCCATTAAACACAGAGGCATTGTGGGTGAAAGTAGAAGGTGTAACAGTGATGCCTCAGCAAGCCAGTGAGGTAAATTAGACTAATTTACTCCGTGCTCTCTGGGAGAGGAGGTGGGTATGTGGGGGCATACAACACTTCGCCTGGAGTAAATGCATCTTTCTTAAGGGTGTTTCCAGGTTTTAATTATCTAAATGTAAATACTTAACGAATTTTACTCAGAGTAATGAGCTAAAGTGTGCACTACGTAAATGAGTTATTCTAATTAATCATGTATGAACTACTGGTTTAACGAAAAGCTGTTTAAATTCACTCTGCATTAGGGCCAAGCCAAATTGCAAATCTGCATTTAGAGTATTTTCAAAGATGACTTCACCTATTATGTCATAAAAGTAACATAAAAGACAGAGCACTCAGTTGAAGCTTTTAATAAGAAGAGCTTGTATGTAAAAATATATTTTTTTCTGTACAACTTTAGATGTTTTTTAAATTCTAAAAATCTCAAATGTAATGTGATTTGCGTCACGTACAGGACTCACTTTGTCTCTTGTTGTCTCTTGGCAGGCATGTAACGAATTCACTACCCATGTGATGAACCTGCTGAGGGAACAGTCTCGCACGCGGCCCATCTCTCCCAAAGAGATTGAGCGCATGGTGGGAATCATCCACCGTAAGTTCAGCTCCATCCAGATGCAACTGAAACAGAGCACCTGTGAGGCTGTCATGATCCTGCGCTCCAGATTCCTTGATGCCAGGTCAGTGTATCTTGTGTGTGTAGTGCATATACTGTATATATATATGTGTATGTGTGTGTGTGTGTGTGTGTGTGTGTGTGTGTGTGTGTGTGTGTGTTTGTGTTTTTATGTATCTAGAAACTTTTATTGCTTATGTCCCATATAAGCAAATCCATTGGGCAAGGTCCCTTATAGTCTGAAGTTTGTTTTTTCTCCCACTTTTCTGGCACAGCACACAGTGTGAGCTCCGCAAAGATGCATGATTTTAATTAAGCCCATGTTCCATGCATTATCCATTTCCAAGACAATCATGCCCTCTCACACCTGAGAGCAGTTACGACCAAATGAAAAAGGGGGCCGAGTCATGTGTAATGGATGGAGGGGAGGTCATCGGCAGGTGTTGTGGATTACTCTAATCACTAACAGTGTGGAGCAGTGCGGAGCTCAAGTTCGGGCCAAACAAGCCGAGTGGAAGCACATTTGCTGCCCACTGCCTGTGTGAAGTGCAGTAAACAAGGCAAAATAAGCAAATGCTCAACAACATGATAAGTAGTGCCCTTGGGAGGGAAGGGGACCCAGATCTAGTTAGAGTTTGCTTGTTTCTACTGGAGATCCCTGGGGCTGTGGCACTTCAGGAACAATGCTCAACTGTGCATGCCGTGATTTCTATAATGTACCGAGATGCACTCCGACTGGGCTTTGCGCTCCATCACGAAGCCCACCCATCCGCTGCACTAAACTCTACACATTACACGCTTGGACTGGAGATTGGAGACCAACAGACCAAATTAAACATTGTATGTGTTTTGTTACTGCGTGTTTGTTTGTGTGTGTGTGTGTGTGTGCGCGCGCGCTTGTCAGTTTATTGGTTGGAGTGTGGTCTTCTGTGTGTTGACGGGACTCTTGGAGCAGGACACGATATTCTGCTCCTGAGGGCCCTTAGAGCCCATTCCTCATTATTTTCACCATTTATGTGTGAGATTGATTGTGCAATTTGTGCGATCCAAATGGATGAGTTAATGCTGGTCCCACTAATAGGCTTGCTCGGCCTTTCTCTCGTTTTGCTCCCCACTCAGGCGGAAAAGGAGAAACTTCAGCAAGCAGGCGACGGAAATTTTGAACGAATATTTCTACTCGCACCTCAGCAACCCGTATCCGAGCGAGGAGGCGAAAGAGGAGCTGGCCAAGAAGTGCAGCATCACAGTTTCCCAGGTGGGTAGTGCTCATCTAACAGTAGCTGGTGGGTAATCAGGGTGGGAAAGGCTAGAGCCTAGAGGGATAGTTACCGTAGGTCACACCACCAAGACACAATGTCCTTAGCTAACCTTGACATTGTGACTGCCTAATGATGCTTCAGTCAAGGCTGGTCCCAGTCAGTCAGAGCAGGGCCACAGGGAGGGGAGGCCTATATCATCTTGGCCTCAATCAAAGCACTATGCTGTCCTTCCTTAGCCACCCCAACGCTGGGTCCCCTGCCATTTTTCCCTCTCATTCCCATCCACCATGTGTGCTCTCTCTGTTGCCCGGTCAGACGCTCAGGTCATAAGCTGGGAAGAAAAAAAAAAAAAAAAGAAAAAAAAAAAATGGCATCATCCATTACTTTAAGAAAAGCAGTTAAAGTCTGGTGCTTCAGAAGCGCTGGGTGATACTGGCTATTTATTAGTATGTTTGCTGTTCAGGTGACCTTGCAGGACTCTGCTAATTCACAGTTATATTTTAGACTTAAAGATGTGACTTTCCCACTTTATATATAGCATAGCCTCCTTGTTGGGTAAACCTGAAGGCAATATCTCTCACACCTAACCCCCACATCCAATTATTATCCTGTGCTCTTTTCATGCTATGATTGTGACTACTATCTAGATTTCTCATACTCTATTGTTCTATGGTTGTCCTCATGAGACACAATATCAGAGAACCATGAATCTATACAATAATCTACAGTGTTTTTTTTTCTGTGTGGGGAGGGGGTGTTGAGGGGTATATTGAGTGTAGTCATGAAGAGTCAGATACTGTAAAAGCCCATTCTTTTTTGCCTTCAGGGGGTGGGAAGCACCATCACAGTATCACAGGTATGTCATAACTTCTCCTGATCCACTGTTTTCATTTTTTTGTATCTCCTTTGTTTATGTATGTAATAGCCTCACAGTTTGCCACTGCACAGAACCTCCCTCCCTCACACTACTGGACCAATGCTAATGTTATCATCAACTACAGTATTTTAAAATTTGAATTTACATTTCTGAAAGAGCGGATAAGAATTTTCCAGCATTTACATCCCACCTTTAAGTCACACAAGAACACAGACTATTTTTTGATTGATGCATTTTTTTTTTTTATTTTAATTTTTTACACTACACTCATGTTATCACCATATTCTGTCTGTACAAATGTGTCACATGAAATTTTACTTTTTTGGCTATTGTTTACCACATTATTTATTTATTTATTTATTTAATTTATTTTTGTTTGTTGTAGAGCGTCGACTAATTGTGTGGTCTTTGGAATCTTCAAACTGCACTCTGAGTTTATTTACCCCACACCCACCCCACAGTGATCACTGTGCGCTTTATGGCGGCTAAAGAATGGCCACCGACCCTCACAAATGGAGCTCCACTCCACTGTTTTCTGAGTGCCTTGCACAACAGACCAATGTAGCAGCTCCCATGAGAACAAATCAGTCCATGCAGAAATTAGAGGGCTTTTAAAAATTCACTTGAACTCATCTCAGGCCCCATTTGCGGCGTACTCCTCGACAAGCGGAGGCCATGGCAGACATTCTTATTGACTTATTCTTAGTGCTTTGGCTCATTTTAAGTGAATAACAAAGTCGGATGCTCGACATGAGGCCGAGCGCACCGTAAGTGTGTTATCCCTCACCGTGCCCCGGCCTTTCAGAGTCACAAACCACTCGCTGTGGCCACGCTGAGTGCTCAGCTAAGTCATTTTTTCAAACACCCCCAAACTCTTTCTTTTTTTTTTTTTTTCAGTGCTTTGTTAATTGCACAAGCAGTTCATTAAGTAAAAACCATCTATTGTGAATGGTATGCCAATATCAGTCCGTAGCTTGGCTCAATACATCATCGCTGACGAAACACCCTGCACCGTTTCAGCGGGGATCGTTTCAGATGCAAGCGATGCAGTCGTAAAGAGCAAAGCCTCTTTACCTCGGGAGATTCCTGCACTGCAAATCCGGTCTTTTATTCATGCTACAAAAAGAATGTACACATTGATCTGATTAATAGTGAATCCCGCTTGTTTATAGCAAACAGCTGCAGTGCAATGAGCTGTTGGCATTGTTAAGCGTGGCTCTCTAAACGCAGGACGCCGTCTTATTGCCTCTGTCACCTTGCATGCGCCATGCTGGGCTCCTGAATGAAGGCATGGGATTGGATGGCTGTGGTTTGTGTCAGGGTTTACAGAAGGCAGTGTTTGTTATAATCTGTGTGAATGGGTCAACATTTTAAGTGCATTAAGCTTCATATACATTATTACACTTATTTCAGATCAGTGAATTTATAGAAACAAAGACTTGAGTTATTGATGCAGCCTGTGTGACTGATGGTATCAGGGCCACCTTTGTATATGTTATTTAAGACCTACGGCATTATTATACCTCAGATATATTGAGATCATAGACAGATCATGCATTGCTGTACATCAGCCGGCGAGGAGTATTGACCTGAAATAGAGTGAAATAGTTTGAATGATTAACTACAGCTCCGCAGCCTCTGGAGTGGGCAGCAATGAAAGCAATGGTATCGTGTACTTGCAAGGAGTCTGCGTGGTCATTATACAATCGCTGCCTTTGAGGCTGCTGATGTCAGGTAATTCAGTCTCACAACCTGGTTCTCACCACACATAGGAGTCAATTGAATGCATGGCCTGCCACGAGATAAAAGGGAATTAGTTCTGTAGATTGGGTTGTGCTCCACACCTTCCAGTGCCGTGCATTTGTTCAATATTTAGTTGAACCTGAGAATCACTAAAGCCAGAGTTCAGTGGGCAGGAGAGAAGTGTGTGTGTGTGTGTGTGTGTGTGTGTGTGTGCGGGTGTGTGTCTGTAGAACAGAGAAGGGTGGTGTAACGTCTGGAGGATTTGATGCCAACTCTGCTGAGACTGTCCAGGCTTGTAACACCATATAGTGGTAGAATACAGTCATAACACTCTTCGTCATGAAGGACGAGAGCGGAATAAAGTAAATAACATGTTTATGTTTCACTGTTACCATTTCTCGAAATAATCTGTCTCGTTTTACTAGAACACTTTAGAATGAACACGGATCACTGACATATTTGGTAGAAAGTAAAATAGTCTGTATCAGCCACTTTGACAATGAACGAATGAATATGTTTTCATGTGCAAACACTACAGCTGACATTCTAATAAATGCAGTTCTGTTTAATACACTGTTTGCATGAACATGTTGCTAAATTAAAGACAGATGAGCTTTAGAAAAGATTTGCTATGATTTTCAGGGGTTTGTGTGCGCTCTGCGAGCTGTCTTAAACAGCGAGAATATTGTATCGTCTTTGGCTCTACAATCCACTATAAGCAGGTTAAGTAAAAAGGATGATGGCCAGGGCTTTCATTGCTTCCAATTAAACCTTGCTTGTTAGTTTAACCTCTAGGTAAACCCATCAAACAATTGATGTCAAGGAAACCCTGCCAACAGTGGGCCTCGCCTGAATGGTCATTAATTTTAATTGCCTAGATATTAAAGATTTAGAGCACAGAGACGTGCAGGATAGAAATGATCTGATGTCCTGCAAATCCAGTCAGTTTTCACGCCACAGCATTGGCGGGCTGCTGGGGATATTAAAATTTAAGCACATGGGTGGAAATTAAATAAAGCGTCATTAGGGGCAGCTGCTCTTTGGCTGGTCCAGCCGTGGGCTGCAGGGCCTGAGAGGGGGGCAGCAGCACCACGACAACACACTCTAATTTATAGGACCATTAAAAACAAGCATCATCTCATTATTATTCCACTGTTATTGCAGAGCCAGCATTCACACATAAGGCTCACCCCTCATACAACTTTTCAGTGTCTGACTGATGTTGGATGTCACCACTGCAGTCCAACGAAATTAGCATTTCCTCCTGCTCTAAATCTGAATATACCCAGTTTGAGACATTAATTTGAACTCAGTACTTCCTCGTGCCTGTAGAGTTCAATTTCACCTCAGTAAAATATTCACTATACTTAAACCACATCATCCACTAACAGTGCCAGCCCAATAATCTGTGTTTACTGCTCCACATGTCTGCAGGTCTTTACCCTCCAACTCTTGTTTTTGATAAAAAAAAGTTGCTTCCTCAATCACTGAGCATGCATGTACACATACACACACATACACACAGCTGTTTCATCAGCTTTAATTTGTGTTAGTATTAATATTATAGTCAAATATGAACATTTAACACAAATTTTCCAGTTTTCTCTTTGTGGTAACATGCAGGCTTACATACGTAACAGCTCTATTTCCTATCGGCACTTAGTTAAACGATTGAACACATATATTTTAATTCAAATAATTGCACATGTATATTTAGATTAGGTGTCAGATGATTAGACTCACTTATCTGGAATCAGTGCTCATTCTTCAGAGGGTAAAATATGAAGATTCATATATTTCACTGAGGGAAATGTGAGAATTCGTATCCTCAACAACAAATGTGAGGAATATATATAATACTTTGACGTTAGTGTCTGAGCAGTGGGAGCCCCTTGTGTTTTAGTTTTGTCAGGAGACAGATCTGAGAGCATGTCATGCTCCCATCCATGAGAAGACACAAGTGGCTCCTGATTATGGCTTAATTAGCTTGTGTACCCGGCGGACATTACTGCAGGGGCTGGGAATTGGGTACTTGATGGACCCAAACATGACATCTTGAAACAATCACACTGCTCAGTGCACGGTGCTGTGGCTGCTTGACGTCTGACTCCTCTGCTCCTCCTCCTTCTGCTCTCCCACACAGGTATCCAACTGGTTTGGCAACAAAAGGATCCGGTACAAGAAAAATATCGGCAAGTTTCAGGAAGAAGCCAACCTGTATGCCGCCAAGACTGCTGTAAATGCAGCACATGCTGCAGCCGCTGCAGTGCAGAACAGCCAGGCCAACTCCCCTACCACACCTAACTCCGGTAGGCACTCCTGCATATAGACAAAAAAAGATCTGCCCTCTACCTCAGCCTTTAACCTGCTGCCTACCTGCCTCACTCTCTCATGCACCATTCACACAGGCAAGAGTGACAGGCTCTGCTCCCAGCTTGGGGATCACAGTGTCTCCTGTCTATAAGACAGTTGATGCCAAGCAAACTCATGCATAAAGAGAGCGTTCCTGACTTGTGAACCGAGAACACATGTATTTTTGGCAAAATAGAAAAAAAAAGGCAAGAATTCAAAATGATGCCATGGGATTTGTTTTCCCTTGACTTTCTGTCAACTTCCTGTCATTTGTAATGCAATGGTATGTAGTTGTAGTCCCACTGAGCGGTAGAGCTTTTTTCTTTTCTTTTCTTTTTTGCTAAATAAAGAGAAACATAATTGCTGGGAGTATTTTACCTACAGTAATAGTGTTATATAAAAATGACATATGCAGTTCATATTGAATAAAGCCCAAAAGGTTTAATGAGTGATGTAATGATGCTGAGTTTGGACTAGGTTGCCCTGCGTCGGGATGTGGTAAGCTTATGAAGTGGTCCCTTTTTCTTGCACCCAGGATTCCAGATGAAAGATGAAGAGTTTCAGCTGGATTCTGCAGAGAGCAAAAACACTCTTTTAAGCAACATGTTTACTGGTACTGGTCTTTTCATAAGCTTCTTATTGTCCTTGTCATTTACCATGTGATATACCTCCCTGCCAAAGTTAGACTGGAAGTAGGTGATGTGGAACAATTGGGAGCTTAAGCGACCAACCACATATAGAACTGGTCCCTTTGTGTCATGTGATTTTCATTTTCATTTGTGTCCACCGCATCCGTGAAAAGATCCTCTCCAGTCCTCTTCTGTTTGTTTCTTTGGTTCCCTTCCTTCACCCTTGTAGTTGCTTGCTTTATGGGAGTCTTCCTTTAGTGCATTTGTCTGCCTGAGTTGGGTCTGTGTATGCAGACACACGCGCGGTGTGTGTGTGTGTCTGCGTTACTTGTGTGTGTGTGTGTGTGTGTGTGTGTGTGTGTGTGTGTGTGTCTGTGCTTTCCCTTTATAGCCCTCTCATGTATTCAGCTACTTACATCTTCCCTTTCCAGGTTCTTCAGGTTCTTTTAACCTCCCAAACTCTGGGGACATGTTCTTGAGCATGCAGAGTCTGAATGGGGATTCTTACCAAGGGGCACAAGTCGGAGCCAATGTACAGTCACAGGTAGGATCAACAATCAGGGACAGTTCCTGACTACCAGTGCAGAGAGCTGTGCTTGTCTTGCCTGTGTACTGAGCCATCCACAGTGCAGTCTGAAGCACATTAAACCAAAAACAGAAAATAGGAAAAACATGCTGCTCATGGGAGGGCAGTTCAAATTACCACAGCGAGGCCTCCACTAACCTCCGATTGACTCAAGTGTTTATGACTATTTCGCTTTGGATGGAATATTTTGGCAGCCAAAATATAATCCCACCCCACTGCTATCATAACACAAAGCAACTTCCTGGTTACTATTCCAAACATTTTGTGAATGCATTTGGCTTTGACTTGAGCTCTTGGGTTGGTATTGGGTTTTTGGTACTGTGTTTCCCCCTCCCCCCTTTTTTCTGTACTCTATATTGCTGTCTTCCTGTCTCATCTTGTTATTGTTTGTTGTTGATGTCCTCCATTTTGTAAGTTTAACGCAGCTACACAACCGACACACAATCACAACCATGTGCTTACGAGACAATAAAAAAAAAAAAAAAAAAAAAAAAAAAAAAAATAGATGCTTATTCATGATTATGGTAAAAAAATAAAAAAAATAAAAGCTAATTTAAAACAGCCGTAGTGTATGTTACGTTATTGTCACTTGTGCTTTTATTTTTGTTTCTTATTCCATAGCCACTATAGATGTAATAGATGTAATAGACAGCATGCTAGTGATACCCTGACATTACATGTTTGTTTGTTTCTTTCATTAGAAAATCTATTAGCTGTGTTACAAATCTGTTTAGTACATTTGCTGTCTCCGAAGTCCCTTTGTGATTTCACACTAGTCACTATCTGTTGCTTCACTGAGCATGTTTACAGTTGGTGTTGGACGGCTGCGAGACACCCAGTTGACCAGCTTGCACACCTTGTCTGTCCCCTCAGGTGGATACCCTGCGCCATGTTATCAGTCAGACGGCAGGATACAATGATGCTCTTGGGGGAAACACGATGTATAGTCCACATGGCTTGAATGTAAGTAGAGCTTTTTTATTGGTTGCACATGTAGATTGTTGCAGTGTGAAATGAGTTACTTCTGTTTTTCATCATGAGAATATTCTATTTTTAATTATAAGCAATGACGGCACAGTCCATTATATTCCATTACACACATGTGAGATACAGACAGACACACGCTTTCATGCGTGTCAGCTTCCCGAAGCGTGCGCAGTAAAATATTACACATTGTGTCTTGTCACTTTGCCACCTGATATGAATAAAAGTTGAATTTGATAAAACATATTACACAGCAGGGGAATGAAACCTCCAGTTTTACTTTAATAAACATCCTTTAATACTTTGTTTGACTCAAACCAAAAATGAGATGGAAAAAAAAAAAAAAAAAGAAGTCCTTTCACTGTCGGGTATCTGTTGCATTTTAGCTGTTTTGAAATGCTTCACAGAATTTTCCATAGCCTTATCTTCATGATAAAATATGAACATGTGATCGCCCGCAGCCCTTTTCCAGACATGAATTCCATCTTTCTTGATGAGATTTGATATGGCGCCTTTTTGTAAAGCAGCGCATAATCTGAAGCTATCAGAGTAAAGATTAATTTCGCTGATGAGAGAGGATGAAGAGAGAGGGAGAGAGAGAGAAATGGTATCAGACAGCTCTCTCTCTCTCTTTTTTTTTCCTCTCTCTCCCAAAAAAGACAGAACCTCAGTATTTGCTCTCTTTATGTTGTTATGCCTGTTGGGTAAAATGCATGCATATTCACACTAATACTATTGAAAGCTTAAGCATCAAAAAATAAGGTGTTGAATTTACATCAGTGTTGCTGGAAATTTAAAAAAGAAAAAAGAAAAAAAAAAAAAGATGTCTATGAAAAAAAATGAACATATTTAATGTAAACAAATGGTGGGGGCTGTTGCCAGCGTTCACTGCGTTTGGTGTCATTTTGGCTTTGCTGAAGCTTTATTGCTATAAGCTCTTTAGACATGTCAACTCCTCACAGGATCAAGTGTTTTTCACTTTCTCACAAGGTTTCTCACTTCCGTGTGCAGTGTAGACCTGTGCCTACTGGCTCTCCACAGCTCAGTGTGATCCCTGTTCAAACAGCAACTGACGGCGCCGAGCTACCTTAACGCATGAGAACAGAGAGTCAGAACAAAATAGTAATACAGTAATGAAATATTTTTGAGCAAGTCAAATTTTGGCAAAGCTTCTGTTTTGTAGCAAGATCCCTGAAAGTGCCTTAAAGATATATTAGCATAGACTAACCTTTAGCTTTGTTGGCGGTGACGTAGAGGGATCCAGTAAAGGCTAGGTCATGCCTGGAGCAAAGGAAAGTCAGGCTGGCTAAGACTGGCTCTCTTGGAGAGGCCCTGCCCTGTCACTTCCACTCAGCTCTCCCCACCTCACCCTGGCCCGAGCCCTCCCTCTTCTTGACTGACAGGAGAATATGTAGCGACAAGCTGTCGGCCGCTGCTGAAATCTGCTTAGACACTGATTTCGGGGACTGCTCCCATTGGTCGGGACACGAGACAAATTTGTTTCAGAGAGTCTCTGTGCTGATGCTACTGTAATGTAAAGAGTGCTCAGAGTCTGGACTAATCACACGGCATCAGTGTATTTGCAACATTTTAATATCGGCTGACACATTAGTGCAACCTATCAGTTTTATTCTGTTTCCTTTCCATTTCTGGAGTGTTGTGTTACATTTTGGGGATAAAACTGCAGCGAGCTCATGTTGCAGAGATTGTGATTGTAATCTCAACCTCTCCCATTTGTGTCCCAGGCTAATGGGGGATGGCAAGATGCAACGACTCCGTCTTCTGTAATATCTCCGACAGAAGGACCTGGAAGTGTGCACTCCGATACCTCGAATTGATCCGCTATTAATGCATCTTCGCCTCAAGCTGGGCATGGACTCTCTCTAACTGTCTGACCAACTGCAGAGGATATTAAAAAGAAAAAAAAATCACTACAAATTTGTTTTCCTGTACCTTAAAATTTCCCACGACCATGCCACACAAATGACATCCTCCATCACGAACACTGAGTGTTTTCCTGATTGTTCAGTGCTTTCTTTCTGTCTTCATAAATCAGCCGTTAATCACCGTGCCCTTATTTGTTTGTCGTAGGAGTAAGCACACATGTGTACAAATAGAAAAACAGCCCTCAGATGTTACTCTGTAAACTTTCAGGATAATTGTCTCCTCCGAACTCAAAATACTGGATGACACTTGTGTATTTAACGTGACATTTTATGACATTTTAAATGCCCATTTGTTTGATTCTTGATTTAATCACTACCCTCCATTTTGATAATTGCGTTCTCTTTCAGTTCTTACAATACATAGATTAAAGCAGCTGTTTCTTTGACTGTAATGTGCTCGCAATCTTGTCCGGCAACTCAACAATGCTACTGTTGACAGCTCAATGGCAGCTTTGTAGTTCCTTTCAAGATTTATTTTCGCCTTACAGCCGTATACATTAGTACAAGGGAATGACTATTCAAACTCTGGAGCATAAAGAAGTGTAATTGATTGCTTGACTATATCATGACACCATTCCATATTTTATAATTTGATGTTTAGTATGTACATATGTAAACATTTTTTTTTTTTGTACTGCTTATGGAAATCAACAAATCCCCCACAGTAGATCATTCCTTCATGGCACAGGAGCAGGCCCCCATTACACAGGAAAAGTTGTACATAATATAGCTAAAGAGTAATTATACATCCCACCAATCAATCCACAGCTTTATTACCTCATTCAAATCCATAGAAACCAATAATTTCCAACTTTTTCTGTAGCTTAGAGTGCTCACTTACTACCTCTAAACAATATCACCACCATCGTTTCTTTTGCCCTTATTTAATGTTTTTATGTAGTTATTTTGATTACATCTTGTAACACTGTAAACTCTTCACTCTCTATGTAATCTAATGTATATTTTAATCTTTTAATAAAATGCTGTTGCTGGAACCGCAACTTAAAATGACAAAAATAAAAAAATGAAAATGATAACAATTAATTAATACCATGGAAAATAGCGCGGGGAGGGCGCGGGCAGGGTGAAGAAGAAGTTGTTGGTCTGTGGCTTTTACCGGGGGGGGTGGGGGTGTGGGGGGGACGGGGGTGCGATGAACATTGTTGATAAATTAACACCAAACAGTGAAACTGTTGTAAATACTGAAGAAAAAAAAACATTTTGAATGTTGCTCATCTTGTTACTAAATCATGCAAAAAAAAGAAAAAAAATCACTATAAAAACTGTAATGCATAGAGGTTTCAGTATTCAGAACTGTAAATTTCCAGCTCTGTTCAACAGGGTTCAAGACTTCTTTTCTCTTTTTTCTATTGTATGTGATTCTGAAACTGAAAAAGTCATGACAAATGATTTGTGGCAGTGATTCTAATGTATTAAAGATGTTTAGTGTTACTTTCTAACCAGACTACACCCTGGACTGAAAAGTCTTCCTTGTGGTAGTTGTGTAATTTCAAACATGAATAAACCTTTTGCTTTCATGACATCAAGGTGTGTTTTCTTTCATGTTTGCTGAGTCAGTACCAAAAGCTTTGGCACTTTTCTCCATCATAAATACACCTGTCCGCTAATATTACCTTCAGACTCAGATTTAAGATGCTTTTTTTTCCCTCTCATTAACGATAAAAACAATTAATTTTGCGTATTTTTAAATAATTTATCCATCATTTGCATGCAGTGATTCCTGCACGTATGAGACCTTTGCTCTCATTTCATATGGTGGGTAGAAAGTAAAGGCTTAACCTGGTTTGCAGCTACTGTGGAGCTGACATGGTTAGTGCAATTAACTGAAATGTCAGGCACTTCTAATTCGGGCTATTTTGTCTGTCTGTTGTGGAAAGGCTGCCTTAATGGATCATTGGTTACCAATTCCACATGGAAATTGACACCCATTTATTCTCATTTTCTCAGCACAGTTCTTCATTCCTGTCTTCTTCCTGTGCTTGTGTCCGATGTTTGTGTCTCTCAGTCATGGACCCTCCTGCTGTTAATCTGTGCTGAAACGCCAAGTGTTTGTTACACTGCTGCAAGTGGAGGAACTAATTTAATACTTTTGCGTGTGTGTGTGTGTGTGTGTGTGTGTGTGTGTGTGTGTATGTGTGCGCACATGAGCGTGTGCACGTGTAAGTGTTTGTTTTGATTTCAACACATGAGCGTAGATAGACAGGAAAAAGAGGAAAGAGATGTTACAGCTTCACATGAGTTTAATTCAAGCGCAATGCACAGACGGCTTCCCGGGAGAGCATATTTGTCCACTCAACCAGTGCAGAACTTCATTGAACACCTTTCTCTGGAAATCATATCTTCATCCCGATATCGCACACCCGTGCCACAGATTTCCAAATGTATGGATAATCCTTTTTGTATGGCAATTTGAGTGAAAAAAACAAAACATTGCCTTTAAGGTACATCAAAAAGAGAAGCGTAATGGATTTTCATACCTACTTTGCATACCACTTTTTCTTAGCATTATTAATATGGATTGGATTCTGCTTGAGGGATATTTTGCAACACGTCGTCGTTGTTTTATTTAACATTTAGTGCAGCCACACAATGAAAGTGGAGTGTGCATAAGCACAAATACAGTATTCCTTCTTATGAAATCATTTAGAGTTTGAAGTCCAGTCCTGCTGTACCCTGCCATTTGGATTACAATCTATTTGCTCACTCTACCTTTACAAATAGATACATTTGCTTCCTCAAGACTTCAACTATTGGATTTTAAGTACTGCACTCAGCAAAATTGGCCTCAGAACCTTTTAAATAAAGAAGTTACATTTTCTGAAATTATGCCTATTAGAGATTTTTCTAAGGTTCATTAAAGACGACATTTTCTAAGTAAAATTCACCGTGAAAAGCATGCATCATTAAATATGGAAATCCAGAATTATATTAGCAATATGCACCAAGCTAGTGCCAATTAAATTAGAGAAAGATATCATTTATATTATTAAGGTAGAGTTCATATTAGATTAAATATAAAATGTAATTCTTTCACGGTTTGATTTATTGCTTATAGTGCATTGTTCACAGACCCATGTTATACTGTATTTCAATGGAAAGATTGTTTATATTAAAATGTAAAAAGCTGTAATTGCATCACACTATTGCTAAATTAAATTGGTTCAAACAGAAATTCATAAGATGGCATATATATTTTTCCTTCTTTAATGTGACTCTTAAGTATGCACAGTGGTGTGCACACAAACAACTATTTTGTTGTTAACTTTAGAGCTGATGGAAAAATGTGTACTTTCTGTAACCCTTAGAAATTTGATTTCAGAGCGTAAAACAAATTAGTCTAAGTCGAGTCCAAGACAATACGCAATAATGTTGTAGCTTTGATCAGACTGGGGGTAGTATGCGGAAACATAGAAACCCAAGTGATCATAATTCATTGGAAATCATTAGGAGGCTGTTCCGGATGCTGATTTGAGTTAATATATAACAGCTGATAAATTTTTTGTGCCTGTGATCATTGTTGGGCATTGCTAATTGTTGATGATCAACAGTTAAGATGACCTAATGCATCTGAGCTCAAAACAGAGCAGTGAAAAACATAAATGTGAAAACATTTATCAACTTTGAATTTATTTGTTTAGTGCAAAACAGTTGAGAAGAATATGTTTCAATATGAGCATTACAGTGTTTTATGATTTACCACCAGTAACACAACAGTGGAAATTACTTGAAAAAATCCTTCAGACTGGTTGTCCGCCCCTTCAAACATCCACATTCAATAAAATGTCATTTCATTTTTATTTTAATCAGTGTAAATAACATCTGAAATGGAAATGTTATTCTCTCAATATGATGCTATTATCTAAATTTATGTTTAATGGCTTTGTTTTAATTGCAAGTATATTGTATTAAAACAAGCAAATAACGATGCAAAGTATGTAAGCAAACAAGTCAACTTATATGTTATGCCAAGGGTTTACATGAACATACTTAGAGTAGCATAACCATACATGCTACTCTAAGTATGTTAATGTAAACCCTTGGCATAAGGAGAGTTTTCTTTTAGAACAGAATTTGTGATTTTCCTGAATTTTGATTTAACAGATCGGGTTAACTAATCCTCCCTTCTGGAATAACCCCTTTAAATAACACTTTTGCTTTGTTAGCGCTTGCTTCATGATATGCTCATAAAGCCAGAGACATGAGTCTGAGACTAGTGTACAGTAGTTTAATTTACTGAGTATAATGGAGCAGAGACTCCCTGCACTGATCTCTGCAGCAGCACTGACTTCTATTAAGAGATGAGTCCTGAGTGTCCTTTGAGCTTAAAACAGTGGAGTTAATTAACATTTGATCCTACCTCTACTTACATCTTTAGAAATTCAATTTCAATTTCATTTTAACCCATTCATCCATTTTGGTGCTGGAAGATTTAAGACTGCATGTAGCCTCATCTCTGAACCGATGGTGGCTTATCATAGCTTGTTGGGCAAAAGCAGGCATGTGAAGGCTTGTGACAGGAGACAGATGTTCGCCTTACCTCTTAGCAGACGCGTGTCAGCAAGCAAGGGCCTTTGTGCTGCTCAAATATACTGACACCAAGTCACAAAAAAAAGAAAACAGCAAAAAAAAAAAAAAAACAGGAGCAGTATATGTCATTCTTTCTTTAGTTCTCTGTGTCTGTCTCTCTCACATGCACGCATTGCACAATAAAAATTAAATAATTATATCATGTTACTTTATTAAATCAATGGCCGCTTTAATTTAAGGTTTGGACCTTTCTAATTTGGCTTCATAAAGACTTCATTACTGAGCCAAATGTGTCACCATTCACTTAACTGCACAACTTACAAAGCAGGTGCAAAGTCACAGAGGCAGATGATAGATGTAGCATATAGTATGGAGCGCAATTTCATATAAAGCCACAAAAGGCTCAAGCATAGTAATGTAAAAAGGATTGTGGTGACAGCTCTTAAAATCATTTGATCTATAGAGGTGCAGCGTCTGCTTTTGATTAAATTTGGTCCTTTGTGGCCTCATTCATATTTGTTCATATTGTTTTAAGGAACAAATATGTTAATACATGTGTCATTTCTAGAAATAAATAAATAAATAAGTTAGAAAAGATGTGTTTTCCAGCCACAAAAATCGTACATTAACACAATTCAAACATAGCACCTGGCACCCTGAAAACACACCACAGAACTTGTGGTTCATTTGTCAGTTGCATGGAACACTCACACTGATGTTTTCATCTTAGGGCTGAAGCCGGAAGAACAGCGATGCTTTCCATATAAACATGTATTCCAGCTCAGTTCATTGTGTTTCGCTGATTTTTATTAAAGCTCAATAACTAAACGGGTGACACGTAAATTAACAACAATAATTACCCACAAGTCTTTGCATAAAAATTGCGGGTTATTATTTTAATGGACAAATATTTTGAGTGCCTTGTTTTGACCAAACTGTAATAAATGTAATATTTCACAAACATAATGTCGCTCTAATCTAGTGAACAAAAAAACAACCAATATATGTAATATATTAGAGAACAACAACGCTTCCAAACAACAATCTGGAAATCATGATTATTTTCAATGTCAAATTACAAACAGCATATGAGTTTTCAGCCAGAGCAAAGTGGTGACGAAAAAAGTTGTGACTTTTTTTCTTTTTTTTTTAAAGTCATGCTGAAATTGTTGTTATTGCTTAAGTTACTTAAAGGTTCCCTGTGGAGTTTTTGACCACTAGTTGTGCTATGGGGAAATGTTTGTATGAATGGATGCCTGTATTGTCTGTTTCACGCACTCGCATGAGGACACACCCGCTCTAACAAAGCCAGTGAAGAAGACAAGGTAGCATACATGGATGTAAATAATGTGCAAATTAAAATATTTTGAATATCGCCTTCACAAGTTTTCAAGGAAAGTGGATTCAACTCATTTGTTAGACCTCAAACATGTATACAATGCATACACTGTAATGTAAATATATACAGTATATATTAATTTTTGATTGCTTATATAACTTTT